TTCGTACTATTATATATTTATGTACAATCATAAAGTAATTTTTCAGTATTATAAAATACTGAAAAGAGTTCACAAAAATTCAAAATATCCTAAAGTTAATTGTTTTTTTTTTGTTTTTGGTTGTACAGTAGTTCCTCGTTTATCGTGGGGGATCCGTACCCTGAAACCCCGCGATAAGTTAAAACCCACAAAAGCAATGTTTGTAAACTCTAAACGCTCTAAAAAGCTAGAGATGCATTCGGGAACTAAAAATCCGACCAGACACGTCCCCAGCCCGTAGCCATCATTTCCGAACTCCACCCAACCCGACGAATTAACAGTAATTACAGGTCCAAACACGACACACCCCGCCCCCCTAAGCTTTGACTGCTTATATAGTTATTAACGATCGGCGGACATGCGCGGCTAATTGAACAGAAGATCAGAGCTGAGGAGGTGTTTGTCCTTTCATGGCCGTCAAAGTGCATTAAATCCCTACTTCTGCCTGCATTCTGCATTATTCAGACACGGACCCTGCTCTGACATGGCAGATATTTTGGGATCTCACCTGTTTGGGTCATCGGCCGCGTGCGTTCGCTGAGTGCAGTTGAATCTTTTCTAAATTACACCACCACCTTCTAAAGGAAATAACAAATATGTTTCATTTGTTTGAATGTCTTTCTTTACTTTAACTGAACTTTTTTTTGTACCTCTTTCAAGACTGGTCAGCACACAGTCAAATGGTTGTGTACGGCAGGTGATGTATGGCAAGCTATGTTGCCATATATTTGGATTGTCATCTGCGCAAGTCCATTGACACAATAAAAAGCCTGACACCAGCCTGGCCCACACATTAAGTACATTATAACCCTAACCCAACCCGCATTAGGGCCAGGCCGGCCCGGACCAAGCCGGGCTTTGGGCCCGGGTTAGAAATGACAGGTCTAAAAGAACACAGAATGTCATGATTTCAGCTCTCTGCCTCCGGCTGTACTCTTGGCCACGCCCATTTCTTGCCTCTGCACGGAGATCAGCTGATCAGCTAAACGAGGAAGATTCTCCCACAGCTGTGGGCTGCACAAAAGTGCTAAATCCTTTAAAATAATTTATTTGAAATTTAAAAAATCCATGCCAGTCGTGCGGCTCATCCGTCAATCAGCCATTGTGAGTCATGTCCAATCTTACTTTGAAAAACTGCAATAGAGTGAGTCTGTGAAAATCGAACCACGAAGTAGCGAGGGACTACTGTAATCAAAATAGTCTAATATCAACTTATGTTGAGATGAAGACTGTCAGGATTGTGGTTTTTCATCCTGCTGTGGTATTTTTTTTTTCCTTCTAACCTCTGAAATCATGAAGAAATATGTAAATAAAGCTAATTTTTAAGTAAAAAAATGTTTGTGCAATAGCTCACATGACTTTGTATGATATGTTTTCAACTGGAGCATGTGATGGAAATGACTCTCTGCTACTACCACACCAAGTTTTAACTCAGTCTCTGTACATTTCACTGACTTTTAGCCATTTCTGTTGATTCATTGTGACTGCCATCTTGAATTGGGCTCACTCCAAAAGTTAACCAGTTGTTGAGGTGCACCCACTGACTACCATTGGAAAGGTTCAATTAAATTTTTCCATTGGTTCATGAGATATTTGGCTAACAGAAAAAACAAGGTTGACTCCAACAAAGGTTTTAAGCAAAGATGTTGCGCTCATAATATTTATTGGGGACAATATTCAGCTACGCCAAATTATAGCCTGATAACTGTAAAAGCAGCTGAGCTTTAGACATTTGTGTGACATTTCCTGACAGTTTTGTTAAAAATTGATCAGCAGTTAATATGATATTTTAAGAGAAAGACAGAGTTGATCCTTTTAGTTGTTGGCAAAGTTTTAGAGAAAGATTTCAAGCGATCACTTATCATATAACTTGGGGATCAGCTTCAGCTACTACCACACCCAATTTAGGCTCAATATATGCACAATTGATCATTATAGCCTTTTATTTGTGTTTGGTAAAGTCGCTTTGCTGTAGCAGCCATCTTGAATTGGATTTCATTAAAAAGTGAATTTTTGTAAATGTAAATCCACTGATTACTTTTTGAGAATTTCATTAAAGTCTGGCCACTGGTTCATGAGATATAAATATGTTCCCATTCAGTGGCCTGTCTCACCCTGTCAGTCTTGTTTCGTATCATAAAGTTTTATTTTCTTGCAGCCATGCCCACATCCACATGTCAAGCAAGGTCCTTGACTCTGCTAAGTGTTATAAAGAGCTCAGCTGTCTCAGTGCACGGCAGACACGTGTATACAGTGCGTCTGGTTTGCATGGGTTGAGAGGCCTCTTGCTGCAGACAAATCATGTAGGACAGACAGTGTGAGGGAGAAGGTTGTCAAACATCCTTCAGCATACATCTCCATGACATGCTGCTGAGCAGAGCTTACTATTTTATCTTGATGAAAACCATAGCTGGGAGTCTTTTTTTTTCAAAGGAACTCTTTTGCTTGTGCAACCGCATGCATCAGTGGGGTGGGATGGAATTGACTGGACCGAACAAACTCTCTAAAGAGAATATGTAATGTGATGTTGACAGCTCACAGACTGACAAAGCCAAACAGGGAATGAGATGGAGAAAATCTGCAGGTGTAAGCAAAACAGGAAGGGGCCCTGCTGCACCTCGAAAACTGAAAATCAAGACTCCTTTGGCTCAGTCAGGGCTGTGGAGTTATAACCTCTGACAGCCCTGGCTGTCACTCCACACTTATTGCAGCCTCGGTTCGTCTGCCACACACACACACACACATATATGTACACACATGTAAGCTTTAATATTGCTTATATTAAAGCCAACATTGGCTCAAGACAGAGCTAATATGTTTCATGTCAGCTGGGGAAGGCATTGATAACAAAGCAGGTGGTGTATGGACAACCATAGCTCTCCAATTTATTGGGGACTGCCAAGGATAAGGCATCACCTATTATTATCCACCTGACTTAGGGTTTCTTAACTTTATATCTTACTCTTGCGTTAACTTTAATGCGGCCCGAACTGCAATGTGTACCCCCACAAATGTTATATCTAAATGACTTGCTCGGTGCCGTGATGTGTGCTATTACTTTTATTGGCGTTTCGAGTTACAATGGTGACGTACTTTGCAAACAAATACGCCATTTTTCCCATACAAGACGCCTGACGGAACACTTAAGCTACAGTTAAATGGCTTTAACTCAGCTATTTTTACACATATAGAGCTGAAATTTGGTGAGATTATAGCTGAGAACATTCCCCATCACATACTGATTCCAAATCAAATATTCAAGATGGCCACTTTAGCTAAATGGAATAATGACTATAACTCGTTGATTTTTTTTTTCTCATATTGATTTGAAATTTGGTTTAGTGGTATCTGAGAGCGAATCCCAACATATAGTACTGTCAAATCAAAACTTTAAATTGGCAGCAGCGTGGCAGTCCCATCAACGTTTCTCCAGGAACTTTCTAGTTTCGTAAAGTAGTTTCGATTTGCCTTCAGCTTGAGAGCTTTCCACTTCACTTGTCCTGTGTTTGGTCACAAAAAGTGGGATTTCTGAAGCTGGGGGATTAAACTTTAAGAACACAGAACTCTGCCATGTGCTGACGAAGATGTCTGCAGTTGCATTGTGGTGGTTGTATTGATCATGATTCCTAACCTCTAATCGATGTTATTGACTGATAACCTTTACATTTAAAGGCCGATCATTTTCATTTGGTTCATCTCCCAAAACTATTGATGTGGTGTGGCTCCTGTTGATGTATTTGTCTCTGTCTCATCGTACAGGTGCAGCAGAAGTGCGTTGTCACCCTCGCCCTCCTTTGCTGCTTTGCTGTGCTGATGGTGCTGATCTTCTCCTCCGTGGACATCTGGGGAGACGATGAGGACGGAATCACGGAGGAAAACTGCAGCAGAGACTGCCGGTGAGATGTTCTGTACGTACAACAAAGTTCAGTTAGGTCATCTGGACAGTTTCTTTTTGTTGAAACGTTTCTTCTTTCATCCAAAGTACTTCATCAGTCTGAGAAGCCACAACAAACTCAGTCCCATAAGCAGCACACTCTCATAGTGGACCGACTAGTTTAATGGTGATGAGATAGTTTCTGGAGTCCGTCTTCTCCCCGTCGACTCCGCTGAGGCAGCCATAGCTCAAGTGGTTCAAAACATCAAAGTTCATGCTCAATAATCCAGGTAGAAAATCCAACAAAGTTCAGTCAGGTCCTCTGGATGGTTTCTTTTTGTTGAAACGTTTCGTCTTTCATCCCCCCCCCCCCCCCCCCCAAAAAAAGACTTCATCAGTCCGAGGAGCCACAATAAACTCAGTCCCATAAGTATTACTGAGCATGAACTTTGATGTTTGAACCACTTTGGTCATGGCTGCCTCAGAGGAGTCGACGGGGGAGAGGGTGGATTCCAGAAACCATCTTAGCACAATCAGACTGGTTGACCCACTATGTGAGTGTGCTGCTTATGGAACTGGGTTTGTTGTGGCTCCTCAGACTGATGAAGTCCTTTGGATGAAGGACAAAACATTTCAACACAAAGAAACCGTCCAAAGGACCTGACTTAACTTTGAGGGATTTTTTACCTGGATTACTGAACATGAACTTTGAAGTACTTTATGTACATTTACCAACAAATGACTCATCCCTCATTTCTTTAAATTCTGCTTCCAAGAAGTCAGACTTCACTCTTTCTGATCAATTAATCAAACAAAATTTATTCATGAAACACTGTTTATACACACAAAAAAAAAAAACCACAAAGTGCTTTAAAGCAGATTTAAATAGAACAAAGAAAGCAGGTGCTGGCCTTTTCACTACGTTAGCTCTGTGGCGACATCACTGACGTCTTAATAACTTTGGGTGCAAAGAATAATTATCTTTAATGCATGACTGTCTTGTGCACTCAAGACAAATGTTTTGCCCATACAGTTTTGGGGGGTTTACAAAAGTTATTTTGCATTAAATTCAAGGTTTATAAAATATTAATGCTCATTCTACTTTCAGCATCGTTCTTGTGGAGAATATTCCAGACGACCTCTCTCTCTCCATGGATGGCAGGCGTCACCTTCCTCTCTCTGTGGGTTTTCACTCACTGCTGGACCAAGCAAAGCACTCCGTGGAGGTTGTGTCATCTGTCTGGAACTTAAACTCTTGGGATATGGAGCCAAAACCAAGTACAGCTAAACAGGTACAAGTTATGCCACACAGTCAGCAGAACATTAAGCAACTGTCTGTGATGCAGTGATTTTTAATGCCAACATTTAATGAGGTTGGTCTTGGTGAAATATAAAAGTTGCCCTTTTAAGAGGCATCCAGAAGCACTGCTCTAATACCCCTCTCCAGTCGTACAGAACATTTCTCTCTGTCTCAGGGTCAGCTTCTGTTCCAGAGACTGCTCAGCCTGAAATCTCGTGGGGTTAAGCTAAAGATTGTCAGCAGCCGAACAAACGTGACTGAGCTAAAAGCCTTGGAAGCGCACAGTGAGTACCTGCAACACTTTACAATTTAAAATGCAATTTCTATGGCAAACAGTAGCAAAGATTTATATGTCTTAACACCATCAGCATCATGACATTTCTTACTTTTTAAAGAAACTTTACTGTATTCTATGACAAGTCTGGTAAAATTGCGTTTTGCCCCTTTTTATCTCGCTGATCTGCTGCAGCCATATGTCCCACAGTGCTCTCTGAGGTCAACAGACCAGATGCTTTTATTGGTTCCAGGCACTCGTTTTAAGCTCAGAGGTGACAGGTCCAAAACTGTGGAATGACTTACACTACATGTCAGGCAGGCTCCCTCGCTTACTGTTTTTAAGTCACGTTTAAAAACTCACTTTTATTTCCTGGCTTTTGACACAGTGAGTTTATTTTAACATGTCTGTATTATATAATGATAATCATTTAGTTATTATCTTTACCTATTTGGATATATGTACTTTTTGCTATGTCCTTTGCCTGTTTGTTTTTGCTGTACAGTACAGCACTTTGGTTGACCTTGTTGCTGTTTTTAAGTGCTTTATAAATAAAGTGGTATGGTATGGTATGGTATGGTATGGTATGGTATGGTATGGTATG